ATGAACCCGAGCGGATGTTTAGGGTTTAGGGTTTAGCCCAAAACCCTAAACCCTAAACTCTAAACCCTAAACCCTAAACTCCCACTGAACCCTAGTTTCGTAACCACCCTTGTAGCTTCAGATGCAGATGCATACGTACTTCTACAGCAACCAAGAGCTCTGGGTGCGTGGTGGCCCTAAACCCTAAACCCTAAGCCCTAAACCCTAAACCCTAAACCCTAGACCCTAGACCCTAGACCCTAAACCCTAAACCCAAAACCCAACAAAGAACTCTAGGTGCAAGGAGCTGCTCGAAGCATGTTTTAGAGTTGAGGGTTTAGAGTTTAGGGTTTAGGGTTAGCCCCGAAGCCAGGAGAATTTTGTAGAGCATCTTGCATAGAGAGGGTTTAGGGTTTAGGGTTTAGGGTTTCGGGCTTACGGTTCTCTGCAGCGCCCCTCAGCGAATCCCGTGAGTGCACTGGTGTTCCACAGAGTCTCCATGGAGTGCCCACAAGCCGGCGACGGTTTGCCCAGTTGCTGAATTCGTTAAGCCCTAAACCGTAAACCCCCAAACTCTAAACCCTAAACCCCCCAAAACCCAAACTCTAAACCCCTAAACTCCAAGGCTATAGGCTATAGGGCACCTACTTGCAGGTTCATGGTACTTATGAGCCACTAATAACTGTACTTATAGCCCACTTAGAAGCCCCTTACAGTAAACTCCGAAAAGTTGGAACATCCTTATCCCGATCTACTAGAGGGAATCCCAGCTCTAATCATCCTTCAACCATGTTCCAACTTTCTGGAGTTCACTGTAAGTGCCCTAATATGGTTATATGTACAGTTAGTGTTTGCTACTAAGCACCATGAACCTCCAAGTATAGGGAACCCCTAAGAACCCTAAACCCGAAACCCTAAACCCTAGACTCCCTAGAGCCCTAAGAACCCCGGAGACCCAAGGAACCTCCGACCGGAGGATGGCCGCAGCCCGAGACACATTCCAGTGGGTTTAGGGTTTAGGGTTTAGGGTTTAGGGTTTAGGGTTTAGGGTTTATGGTGTAGGGTTTCGGGTTAGGGTTTAGGGTTGTGGGTTGAGGGTTTTGGGTTGTGGGTTGAGGGTTTAAGAGTGCAATCCCTTCCCTCTGGAAGGGCACGTCCCAAAAGAGGGGGCCCCCTAGCATTAATAAGATGGGGAACCCCCCCCCCCCCCCCCCCAAACAAAACAAAAAAAAGGACAGTTTTCGGAAACAACCATTGACTCAACCCCCATGAATCTGAAGACCTTGTACGGTCGCTTGTGTATATTTACGGGGCAGGCCCTAAACCCCAAATCCTAACCCTAGCAACCCAAAAATCGAGCGCCGAATCACTGAAAAGATTGAGGTCCATACCCATTCTTGTCTCATCTCTGGGGCGGTGACACGGTGGTGCTGCTCACGACGATTACAGGCGAGCTTGGGGGTAGGGGGGTAGGGTTCAGGGATGTTGCGCTAAACCCTAAACCCTCCACCCTGAACCCTAAACCCTAAACGCTTGTCGAGATCGGGCACAAAAGGCCCCGGTCTCTACATGTTTGTGAAACCCTAAACCCTAATCCCCAATCCCTAAACCCTAAACCCTAAACCCTAAACGCTAGCTAGATGCTACACGGTGTCTATGGGGGGTGGTTTAGGGCTCAAGTGGAGCGCGCTCCAAATCCCCGGGTTCGAGGGTTGAGGGCGGCTTAGGGTGTAGCGTTTAGGGTTTAGGGTTTAGGATTTAGGGTTTAGGGTTTAGGGTTTGGGCTTTAGGGGTTCCAATCTGCACAACCCCCTGCCTACTACTCTCTTACCCCAGCAGCCTTAGCATCACACACAAACGAACCCGCCTCTCTCAAGCGACCAAAGTTCATCTCCAGGGAATGCTAGTTAACAGGCGATTAATGCCACCAGTAGTTGCCGATAGGAAGAAGCATATTCACACTTTTGGGGTTCTTGCACGAATTTTCTTGAATATTCTGATTGGTATTGCTCGCATATGGTTATAATAGCAATACTAGTGGTAATTGTCACAAGGTGACAAGAATAAAAATGCTAATCTTAATCATAGTAAACATAGTAATAGTACAGTGTCACTGTAGCACCCCTAAACCCTAAACCCTAAACCCTGAACCCTGAACCCTAAACCCTAGTATGTCCAGGCCGCGGGCGCCACGAGCAGCAGGAGACTTTTGAGATCGACTTGGCGAAGCCTTGCAGCATTCGTCCGAAGTTTTGTGGGGTAGCCGTTATAAAACGAATACTCCCAGGACCCAGAGCTTTGCTCTTATTCACTTTTTTGGGGTTTGGGGTTTAAGTTCCCTTCGATAAGCCTCTTTAAGCTTGTAAAACGAATGCTCCTAGGACCTAGGGGTCTTTGAGCTTATAAAACGAATGCTCCTAGGACCTAGGGGTAGGCCGTTTTTCCCTTTTTTCTAGGGTTTGGGTTCCCTTATACAAGCCCCTTTAAACCAAAAAAGGGCACCCTTTTTGTTCCAAGGTTACTTTTGGGTCAAGGGTTTAGGGAGGAAGGCTTAGGGAAATGGTAGCTCACCTGAATACTCATCAACATAGTGGTGATGATATTGCTTCTCCCAAGAACACTAGCAGCAGTCCCTTAAGAAGAGTGGCCCTAAATCAGTGGGTGTCAAGTTTAATCTTTTGCAGGTTGTGGCCCTTAGAAGCTTGGAGCACCACTTGCCTTGCCCTGGCCTTCAAGGCGAGGGAGAGGAAGGGAGGCCTACATGGAAGGGAGGCTTACATGGGTAGTTTCCTAAATTAGGGGTCCCTTTTTTGGGTGCCCATGATACGGGGGCACCCTGAAAAAGGGATCCTGAACAGGGATCCTCTGGTAGAGAACTGATCACAACAATTCAAAAAGTCTAGTGACTCTAGTAGAGCATCCGTAGAGAATCCCGATGTGCTTGTACCGAGTTCGATCATTGAACAGGTCCCTGTATGATGACTAAGCTCTCCTTGTGTGGGGTAGCCCTGGAACCTGCGACGGCGCTCGGACTACGGCCTTCACTGGACTTAAGGCCAGAAGGGATAATGGTAGAACCAAACAGGCCTTCAAAACCGGAAGCAAGAACCACAACAAGAAGCCTTGCAATGTGTGAGGCTTTCTGGAAAGTGTTCCCCAATTCCTTGAAGCCTGAAGCTCTTAATTGGACCCTAAACCCTTTGTGGAACCCTACAAGCCCTAAACCCTAAACCCTAAACCCTAAACCCTAAACCCTAAACCCTAAACCCTAAACCTTAGGATGGCCTCGGTGCACACGTGTGGACCCCTTCGCGTGGAGGTTGGCCAGGCTCGGAGTTCGGAACGGCGACGAGCGTTTGTAGGTGTCATTAGGGTAGGGGCTTCGCAGGCAAAACACAACCCTAAACCCTAAACCCTAAACCCTAAACCTAAACCCTAAACCCTAAACCCTAAACCCTAAACCCTAAACCCTAAACCCTAAACCCTAAGCCCTAAACCCTAAACTTAAACCGTAAACCGGGTAGAGACCCTACAAATCCCTTGCAAAGGCCCTTGAACTTGAAAACGACATGAACCCCCTGAAGCGCTTCTGGATATAAGCCCTCATGGGGCAAATGGTTAAGTCCTCGGGGGGCTATAGCTGCCAAGCGGACACTTCCAAGGCCTCCAACCCTCCAAAAAAAGCCTAACCCTACAGTTATAACTGTGTAAACCTTATAGACCTTATCATCCTTATAAACCCTGATGGACCCTATAATAATCACATCAATTAATACTATTAATATTATTATTGATTACAAAAAAGCCTAACCCTCTAGTGATAACCGTGTAAGCCTTAGAAGCCTTACAACCCTTATAAACCCTGATGGACCTCATAAACCTCATGCACCTTATAAGCCCTGACCCCTGAACACCCTAACCCCTAACCCCTAAACCCTAAGCCCTAAACCCTAAACCCTAAACCCTAAACCGCAAGGAAATCCTAGCGAACGGTCCACATCCTGAGCTCCTGGCTTGTTGAAGGTTGTGACGGTGCGCCCTGTTGGAAGCATCCCTCGACCCTGAACATCCCAAACCCTCCTGGACTAGGGTTTAGGGTTTAGGGTTTAGGGTTTAGGGTTTAGGGTTTAGGGTTTCGGGTTTAGGGTTTAGGCTTCAGGGTTCAGGGTTCCGGGTTCAGGGCGCCCTAACCCCTCTGCAGATGCATTCTCTGGGACAGGCGAAGCAGAACGCCAAGCTGGTGGTGATCCGTGATGGTAAGCCTGCTGGGGTCCCCAAGCGATGCCTTCTTTGCTTATAGGTAGCCCAAAAGCCTAAACCCTAAACCCTAAACCCCAAACCCTAAACCCCAAACCCTAAACCCTAAACCCCAAACCCTAGAAGCCCTAAACCCTAGAAACCTTAAACCCTAAACCCGAAACCCACGCCTCAGGCTCAGGCCTTCGGCCTTGGGGGTCGGCGGGCTCATCTTCAGATCTTCAGAGGGTTTAGGGTTTAGGGTTTAGGGTTTAGGGTTTAGGTAGGGTTTAGGGTTTAGGGTTTAGGTAGGGTTTAGGGTTTAGGGGTTTACTACGGGAAATAAGGCCCCGCCATCAGGAAGAAGCCCTGTCCATGGGGGTTGAGGGTTTAGGGATTAGGTTTGAGGGTTGAGGGTTGAGGGATCAGGGTGATCAGCATCGACTTGCCATGGTTCTCGGATCCTCCGTAGTCGGCTGCTCCCGCATTTTGCTTTGATGATTATGCTTTGACTGGCAGTTCGGCAGCCCAAATCCTAAACCCTAAACCCTAAACCCCAAGACATCCTAAGCCCTAAGCCCTAAACCCTAAACGCTAAACCCAAAGCCCAGCCCCCGAAGACCCCCCCCGAAGAAGTTTGAAAGACGATCGGCTACTGAGATCCATCGCGCCTCCCGGCGCTCCAAGCGAGACTCAGGCAAACGTGGGGGGTTCAAGGATGCTGTTGGGCCCGTTGTAAGCCGGAGACACAGCTGTGCGGCAGTTCATTCTGTAGAGCCTTTGAAATGAGGCTCCATGCCCTCAGCATAAGGCACGTCAGGGATTTATGCGGAGGAAGGCAGGCAGGGTTTTGGTTTGAGGTTGTCTATGAGAGCATCCGCAAGGAGGTAGGGGAACAGGCCATGATGCCTCTCAACATCATTCTGCGTGCTGCCGCATGCTTCACTCTCGCAGGTTCTTGTGGTACTGTAACGTCCTCCGTGCCTGCAGCCCTTCAACGCGCCATGCGAGCTATGCTGTCCGTCATTGCCACGGTGCTGCCGGCACTGACCGCATCAGCCAGCCTGCTTCAGACGCGAGTCAACTCTACACATCGTGATCCTGGTGCTTCCATTAAGAAACCGGTGGGAATGATCAGCTCCCGCACATTCGACGCCCCAAATTGCGAGAACAAAGGGAAGGAGTGGAAAGACTTCTGCGGGGTCCCTAAGTCGTCGATTGAGAAGACCGACGTCATCAAATTTGATGGGGTCGAGCAACGGGGCATCTGCAGTCAGTATCACCAGGACAGGTATCTGGATCAAATCTTCCGGACCATAGGCACCACGAACACCTTCTTTGTGGAGTTTGGAGCGCGCAGGCCAGAGGTCCTCAACTCCGCGCACTTCCGCATGAATTGCGGTTGGTCTGGCCTGCTCATGGACGGCGCGCCGGGAGGCGCCGCAAACGGGGCCTGTCCGGACTGCCCAGGGCAGGAGCTCCTAGATGCCCCGGACGATGCCCCAGTGCGTCTTCGCCAGGCCTTCATGACGGCAGACAACATCAACGACCACTTCGAGAAGAACAAAGTGCCCTGTGAGTTCGACCTTCTCACGGTGGATGTGGACAAGAATGATTACTGGCTTGTGAAGGCCTTGGACTTCAGCCGCTTCAGGCCTCGTGTGGTCGCTGTTGAGTTCAGCAGCTATTTCAAGAGCGACGAGAAGAAGGTGAACTCCTACATTGAAGACGCGGTCTGGCACATGTGGGACATCACCGGGGCTTCACTCGCGGCCTTGAACGACCTGATGAGGGCCAAGGGCTACCAACTTGTAGCGCAGGTTGCTGGAGAACACGGCCTCTGGGTCCTAGGCAGCGAGATGAACGAGGAAGACAAGGGCATGGAAGTTCCCGAGACAGTCGAGGAAAGCTGGCAGTGGCAGGGCCGGCTCGAGGGGAAGCCCGCCGAGAACTTCGAGGACGTGGAGGCTCCCTGTGAGGACTTCGGCTGCGCCACCTCCGACCCGTCCTGTCCTGAGTGAAGAAGTATGCACTATAGGGGTCGGGAGAAGTACTAGTCGTAGTCCCTCATGGCCCCTCTGTAAATCTACTTGAGGCCCCTGTTTATTAGAGAAGACACCCAGCTCCTTTTCATCTTCGAGACACAATGATGCCGGTGCCTAGAGGTGTTTGGAGAGCTTTTTGCATCTTCGCGGCTTCATTTTGCAGTCTCGAACTTTTCACCTCGGAAGGCTTTGGGTCTTAGGGTTTAGGGTTTAGGGTTTAGGGTTGAGGGTCTAGGGTTTAGGCCTCCGCACCCCCCCACACTATCACCGTGGAAGCGCCCCAGAGGTTGGCCCAAGGAATTCAGTATATTTTTGCGAAAGCAAGCCAGAAAGATTTTGGGTTGATGGCCCGCCCTTGTTTTAAAGACGAACCATGCACGCCTTGGTTACGTCCCCCTTCTCGCCGCACGGAAGCTTCCGAAGTGGACCAACCTGCTGCGACTTGGGCGCAAGCCTCTCGAAGCTTCAAAATGGCGCGTTTCAGGGAGACGCGCACATCTTCAGGAACCCCGCAGAGTTGTAGCTGCGGCGTATACGTGGGCCTTATAGCGGGTACGCTGCGCCATCCAGCTATAGGACGATTATCAAGGAACCTAAGCCCCCCAAATAAGGGAATAAGGGCCCTACTGGGCATCCATAGGTTGCAGGTGTGTTACACAGGGTTCTTCGGGATCGTGAGATCTTGGTCGCCGCTGTGCTGCATGTAGTCGACAGTCGCAGGGTGCTTATGGGCTTAGGGTTTAGGGTTTAGGGTTTAGGGTTTAGATCCCCAAGGTGAACCTGTCCTTTCCAGGCAGTCAAATTTTCCCTTCAATCCTAGGTTGCTGGGCAGCCTGGCATGTGACTTGCAAGCGTCAGCATAGGATAGGGTATATGCGGGAATATGCTTCAGCATGCTGTGCCGCACGCGTACCCCTGCAGGCGTGCTGGGAACTCTGTTGCTGGGCTGGAAATGGGGCTTGGGTTTAGGGTGTAGGTTTGACAAAATTTGAGGGGTTTAGGGTTTGGGGTTCAGGATTGAGGGTTCAGGGTTTAGGGGGCCTAAACTCCTTAGACCGTACAATATCTGGTCTACCCCGGCCCTAAACCCTACATGCTAGCGCGGGTAGTTTGGGGACCGAGTTGGGATTTATCAAGGCTTAAAAATTGTGAGCCTTCCGCATTGGACTGTGCTTGTAATCTTGTCTTCCATACCACGTGCTTCAGCACCAGCTATTTTTTCGCAGGACCTAAACCCTACACCCTACACCCTACACCCTACACCCTACACCCTAAACCCTAAACCCTAAACCCTAAACCCCAAACCCTAAACCCTAAACCCTACAAACCTTTAAACCCTTAGAAGAGTCGAAGGCTTGGGGCCACAGAGGGCAGCTGATGGACTTCAAGCCTGCCCGGATTCTTCCTCGGTTTAGGGTTTAGGGTTTGGGGTTTAGGGTTTCGGGTTGAGGGTTTAGGGTTTAGGGTTTAGGGCTACGGCTTCGCAAGACTTCCCCCCCCAAAACCCTCTCGACACCTCGACACATCTAAGGAGGCGCATGAGCACGGTGCTTCAAAACGCAGAGCAGCGCCGACGTGAGAGCGTGGTGGAAATGGGTCCCTGCCTCAGGTTTAGGGTTTAGGGTTTAGGGTTTAGGGTTTAGAGTTTAGGGTTTAGGGTTTAGGGTTGAGGTGTTAGGTTTTGGGCTTTAGGGCTTACATGTTTTCCGTACTGGGGACAGAAATGGGAGTTTCCGAAATTAGGGGATAGTATGCTGGGGTCTTTGTTTTAAGGGGTCAAGATTAGGGGTCCCCCCCCCCCCCCCCAAATGAACCCTAAAACTGGGGTTATGTGTACCCTATATTCATTTCTGTCACCAAAACCCGTTTTGGGCATGCGAAGCAGAAACCCTTTACTGTCCAAACCCTAAAACTACAATCCCTATGAGGGTATATGGGCCACAAACCAATCAGGGTTCCTTTCGTCCGAAAGGTCAGTGCCATGAGAAAAGTCGATGCCACAATTCGCTTCTGGTTAGGAAATCTCGGACTGGAGATAGGGTTTTTTCGGGCTTGTACAAGGGTTGAGCGTTGAGGGTTTAGGGAGGGGCGGGTGTATGCATGCTCCTTGTGTCCTCATGAGGATGCTAGTAATTACTCAAAACCCTATGACTCCAAGAGGTGGCACCAATCCCTAAACCCTAAACCCTAAACCCGAAACCCTAAACCCTAAACCCTAAACCCTAAACCCTAAACCCTAAACCCTAAACCCTAAACCCTAAACCCTAAACCCTAACCGGGACGAGGCATTCGAAAGGCGGTGTCCATGGCGACCGGCCAAGCCTCGGCATCGGCGAGCAACCGGAGCCCCCACAGCCCGCGCAGTCCGGCCGCGGACTCCCGGTCCCTTTCCTTCACGCAGTTCCAGGCGAGCTAGGAATTTAGGGTTTAGGGTTTGGGGTTTGGGGTTTAGGGTTTAGGGTTTAGGGGTTTAGGGTTTAGGGTTTAGGGGTTTTGGGGTTTCGGGGTTTAGGGGTTTAGGGGCTTCAGGGTCAAGGGTCTCTTTGGTTGCAGGGTTTCAGCGCTGTTCAGTGTGAGTTTGTTGAGGCCAGTTTAGGGTTTAGGGTGTAGGGTCGTGACGAGCCACGGGCGCAACTAACTGGCCATAATGGTAAAGAAGAAGCAAGATCGACGCCCCCCAGCTTGTGTCGCGCCGGAGCTCACCCATTCCTCAAGAAGCCTCGCATGTCCTGAAGCAACAAACAGAAGGCGAAGCAGACAATGTCGAAACGCCTACTTCCAAAAGGGGACGGGCTAGTAGCCCTAAACCCTAAACTCTAAACCCTAAACCCTAAACCCTAAACCCTAACTCCGCTTTTTGGGAAGGACCATCCCGAGACGAACCGCTTCTTCAGCATGCACGGGAGGAGCGCCGCGAGATGTCACACCACCCTTCAACTCCAGCCCACCTTAGGGTTTAGGGTTTAGGGTTTAGGGTTTAGGGTTTCCTCCCCCAGACTCTCAACCCTGAACCCTGAACCCTCAAAATGTACACCCTAAGCCCATAACATGAAGCCCGAACCCTAAAAAGGGTTTAGGTTTTGGGGTTTGGGGTTTAGGGTTTGGGGTTTAGGCTTTATACGGTTTAGGGTTTAGGGTTGAGGGTTTAAACCCTAAACCCTAGACCTCAAAGTCAATGTTCGAAGGCTCGGTGCAAAGAGGGGAAGCTCTAGACTAAAACCCGGATGCCTTGGACAGAGTTGGGGATCGGCATAAAGAAGCCTTCTCCGGTCCGTCTGAAGTCTCGACGGTTTAGGGTTTAGGGTTTAGAGTTTAGGGTTTAGGGTTTAGGGTTTAGGGTTTAGGGTTGAGGGTGCTGAACAGGAGCAACACCCTGAGCAACACCTTCGACGGAAAGAGCAAAAGCAGCGCCTTGGCTATGAGGGGTATAGGGCTAGGCCTTAGAGTTTAGAGTTTAGGGTTTAGGGTTTAGGGTTTAGGTTTAGTTTAGGGTTTAGGGTTTAGGGTTTAGGGTTTAGGGTTTAGGGTTTAGGGTTTAGGGTTTAGGGGATTCGCGCCCTTAGCACCTTTGGGGAGAAAGGCTCAAGGTCAAGGTTGGATGGGACAAGCTGCAGGTTTAGGGTTTAGGGTTTAGGGTTTAGGGTTTAGGGTTTAGGGTTTAGGGTTTAGGGTATAGGGTTGGTTTAGGGTTGAGGGTTTAGGGTGATTTCAGAGGCAGGTGCATGTCACATGAACGCATGTCTTGAAGGGTGGGCCGCCGGACCCCCTGTCCAAGGCCTCCGAGTTCATGAGCCAAGCTTTCCAACCCCTAACCCTAAACCCTAAACCCTAAACCCTAAACCCTAAACCCTAAACCCTAAACCCTAAACCTCATCAGTTTAGGGTTTCGGGCCGCCGAGGGTGGGGAAGCTGGATGCAGATCACCCACACACTGACGTCCCTGACTCCTTACCGGAGGCCAGAGACTGTTCAGCAGGCTCAAGGAGCCTACAGAAAATCCCTAAACCCTAAACCCTAAACCCTAAACCCTGGAAGTTGTGGCACTTCTCATGAAAAGCGGGTATCTAGGTCACTCGCCAGTGCTATGCTTGCATCTGCGTCGGTGGCTTGTCTGTTGCAGCACCCACTCGGATCCATAGTACGTAGGGCCTTGGGGGTAGGCTCCCTTGGAACCCCCACTATTAGCAAACACCCTATAAACCCTATAATTCCTATAAACCCCATGAACCCTACAAACCCCATAAACCCTGTAAGCCACGTAAACCCCATAAGCCCTACAAACGCCATACACTCCAACTATAAACAAATTCCTATTCTTTTGAACCTTGCGGTAGGCTTCCTGCTCCACCATGTAAAGCGGGACCAATCTGTCAGTACCTTGGTTTTCCGTACAGCAATCTCCATTCTGTTGAATTCCTAGCTCCACACAAACTGGATCTCACCCAATCATGGCTGGCTGAACCGTGCCCTGAACCCTAAACCCTAAACCCTAAACCCTAAACCCTAAACCCTAAACCCTAAACCCTAAACCCTAAACCCTAAACCCTAAACCCTAAACCCTAAACCCTGAACCTCAACCTTAGAGCATTCTTTGGGCAGGCCGACGCGTTCTGTGGGCCATCGCTGGAGGGTCAGACCACCGTGCTGTGGCAAGACGCCATGGCTTAACTTCGATGTCGTCAGAACCCCTCAGCCCCCAAAATTCCACTCCGGTTTAGGGTTTTGGGGTTTTAGTGTTTTGGGGTTTTTGGGTTTTAGGGTTTAAGGGTTTAGGGTTTAGGGTTTAGGGTTTAAAGTGGACATGTCATGGTTACGTGCATGTCTCCGTCATGCTCGACCATATGAAACCAAGAAGTCAGGGCCGGATATCCTTCTGCGACCACTATCCCTCTTAGGGTATATGCATCCATACATCCTAAACCCTAAACCCTAAACCCTAAACCCTAAACAAAATGTATTCCCTAACCCAGTTCCCG